GGCTGCTTTTCTCTCTGCCCCTGTGCGCATGCGTGAACAGAGAGCGATGACATCACAACGCTGGAGGTAAACAGACTGTGGGCTTTTCTTTCCCTCCTTTCTGTCAGGAGCTGAACGGCTGACTGTGTCTGCAGTGCATCTTACAGTGCAGTGTTAGTGGAGGATTCTGATTATGCAGTGATGTAGAAACAGTGAACTGAACTAATTTGTTTACTGTAAATATGTTACCTTAGTGTGACGTCAGTCTGCTAGCTAACTATGTTAACTTGTTATTTAATGGTTTTGTGTACCAAACTAGCGCAAACTAGGTGTTACTGTTGTTCGTTAGCTAGCGGGTTAGTTCGCAGTTAACGTTAGCGTGTTAGCACGTTAGCTAGCGGGGTAGTTCATGGTTAGAGCATCAGCACGTTAGCTAGCGGGTTAGTTCGTGGTTAGAGCGTTAGCACGTTAGCTAGCGGGTTAATTCGCGGTTAGCGCGTTAGCACGTTAGCTAGCGGTGTAATTCGTGGTTAGATCGTTAGCACGTTAGCTAGCGGGTTAATTCGCGGTTAGCGCGTTAGCATGTTAGCTAGCGGGTTAATTTGCGGTTAGCGCGTTAGCACGTTAGCTAGCGGGTTAGTTAGTGTGTTAGCACGTTAGCTAGCGGGTTGGTTCGCGGTTAGAGTGTTAGCACGTTAGCTAGTGGGGTAATTCGTGGTTAGAGCGTTAGCACGTTAGCTAGCGGGTTGGTTCGCGGTTAGAGCGTTAGCACGTTAGCTAGCGGGTTAATTCGCGTGTTAGCACGTTAGCTAGCGGGTTAGTTTGCAGTTAGAGCATTAGCACGTTAGCTAGCGGGTTAATTCGTGATTAGCGCGTTAGCACGTTAGCTAGCGGGTTAGTTAGCGTGTTAGCACGTTAGCTAGCGGGTTGGTTCGCGGTTAGAGCGTTAGCACGTTAGCTTGTAGTTAGCGCGTTACCTCAGGGGCAGGACATTAGCTACCTTCTCTCCGAGGTGGGGTCGTAGTTTCAGTGGTGTGGTCATTAAGCTGAGGTGTGTTTGTGTTTTGCAGTCTTACTGGGTCTGGCTAACTGTACTGTATTCTAAACTCGTATTGCTGTTCTGTGATGCAAAATGCTTAGAGAAATAAAAGTGGAGATATTTTATGAACAAGATCAGTATTAATATGAAGTATAAGGAACAGCTGCTGTCCAGCACTGGCCAAGACTTTGATGACAACACAGAAGTGCTACCCATCAAAAGAAAGCAGTAAGTTTTGATCCTATTTTGATTCATGTTCTTTATTATGTCTTACACAACAGTTAGTCCCGACCTTACAGTCTGATTGGTAGAGAAGCGTCTAACCGTGCTGATATTTATGATGACATCATGACTTTTTATACCAATACTGTATCACTTTACAACAGCCAGCTTTAGGCACTTTTCTTAGTCGCTTTGTATTTCTGCTCATACAAAATGAGAAATAGTGAAATAAAATGGAGGACTTTAACGTAACATATTACCTGCCTTGCATGTTGATGCCAGAGGAGGTTTGAACTCTGCGGTTATTGATAATGATATTGGTGACCTTTATGCTCTATGCTCCTGAACACTTGGCGACCTGTAACTTTACGTGGTCTGACATTTCGTGGCTGAGTTGCTGTGGTTCCTAAACACTTTGTCTTTTCAATAATACCTCTCAGAGTCGATTATGGAAAATCTAGGAGGAAGAAATTTCACAAACTGACTTGTTGCAACAGTGGCATCCTATTACAGAACAACGCTCGAATTCACTGAGCTCTATGGTCCCATTCTTTCACTAGTGTGTGTAAAGGCAGGCTGCATGGCTGGGTGCTTGATTTTATACACCTGTGGCAATTAGACTGAAAAACACCTGAATTTAATGATTAAGAGGTATCTATACGTCCATATAGTGTATGTTATTGCATCACGCTTCTAGTTTTAATGGCACACAGCTGTTTCTTCACCTATACATGCTCCTGTTGTGCTGTTCCAGTGGGTTCATTGGTCTGGAGTTCATGGGGTTGCTCATTACCAGCCAAAGGGGCATAAAATTACTCAGGCCACACCTGGACCACGTTGAATTTTCTTGCTGGCTGCTTGCATGGATGTGCATGACTAGATTAGCCACAGTATTTTCTTATTATCATTGAGTCATTTACTGATATCACCTACCAGATAGCGCCAAAGCACCAACTGTTAAGGGAATTACTGTAGTAATTTTTTGTGATTTTGTCTGCGTTAGTATATGCAGCCCATACCTGTTATTAAACTCCTGAACTAACTGGGGCTAACCCCACTTGTTTATTATCCAATGGTAAAGGGGTTCTGTACCGTTAGTAATGGTAATAAGCAGACATCCAAAATGTTTTTTGTCAATGCAACTCATTCTTGTCACATCCCCAAGCTACTTACCACAACACTGTAACACTGTTTACCACTGTAAAAATGTGTGAAAAATGTATATATAGTTGAAACTGCATGTGCTTCCACTATGCATGTGTAAACTTTGTAGCTTTCTTGTAGCAAACATGACATGGAGCTGTCTCTCATTTAATGACTATGAATTTTTATAATTCAGTGAATGGGTGCTTATAAGTTATTCTGACCGGGTTACTTTGTGGATCAGCTTTAGTCCAGCTCCATGTTATGTCCAGTACAATTTCATCTACCCAGTCCCAGTGTGACATAAGAATACAGCAAGTTTCATAATTTACTACTTTGTCTGACAAACTATTAGTTCTCACTTTATTCAACAAGATTCATTTAGAAAGTGATCAGATTTACATTTTTTTGCTCATGTTCAAACTTTCTGACCTTTCCCTTGGAATTTAAGGACATCCTTTTAATAAAATCCTTTTAGTACCACATATGCACATTTGCATTATTATATTCAGCATAGAATCATGAGCCACCTGAGTTATTTAGCCTCTGACTTTATTTTATCTTGTTTTTATAACTTCTGATGTTGTAATGACACTTGTTTTAGTTTTAACAACAATAAATCTTACATTGTGCTGCTTTAACAATTGAATTATGTAGAAATCTGGAAAAAATGGTGGAATTCCCCATATAGCGATTTTTTTAAAAATATTTTTTTTAGAAAGAAAATAAAAATACATGTTGCCCTTTGCCTTTAAGAAACTGTAGGGATTGCGTTTAATCTTTTTTGATTTTTTTCTTTTTTTTTGGTGAATGAACCTGTGTAACACACCGTACCTGAAGAATCAGTGTATAATAATGATAAAGCAGCTGAGGCAGAGTATATTAGATAACTACACACTGCATAAAAGAACTTTTAACAACTGTAAATAGGTAATTTAGATAAAAGCTCATAATTTAGTCATGCAAAGAAATCAGATGCTGTATAATACATCCAGTTCAGTATCAGAGCTTTACAGTAAAAAGGGACACCATTCTACTGTACAGTACATGGACCCTGGAATATACTGACCAACTCCTCTTAGTAAGAAGACTAATAACACAGATGGGTGATGAATCAGTCAGGAAGCAGGAATTATGCAATGCTGAATTTTATTTGAAATCAATCACAGCCCCTTGTACACACAGATTACAGTGATGTAGTGTTACTGGATCTTTGCTTTTAGATCAAACATAGAAACTGAAACACATGATCATAATAATCTTTTATGTTTAATATCTGGGGCTCTCAGAGCTGAAGAGTTGATTATTATAAGTGATTTCTGATACATGCAGAAGGGTACTGGAAGGAACAGGTCAGGTCAGTTTAGCCTTCCAAACCACCTAAAACAAGAGAGAAAGTCCATTAGCTCAAGTCATCAAGCCTCCTCAACTCATCCAGAATGCAGCAGCACAGCTCGTCTTCACTCTTCCTAAGTTCAGTCACGTCACCCCACTGCTGCGCCCTCTTCACTGGCTTCCTGTAGCTGCATCAGATTTAAAACCTTGATGCCTATAAAACCAAAAACGGACCAGTCCCTCCCTCCCTGATGACAATGGTCAAATCTCAAACTGTACCTCGAGCCCTTCGAGCTTCCAGTACAGCTCAGCTTGACCCGCCATCCTTCAAGATGTGTGGAAGACGAGCATCAAGACCGTCTCTTTTTACAGCACTTAAGTGAGCACTAATTATTACTTATTGAAATGTTTTGCACTCTTTCCTTTCTCTAGGTATCAACATGAGCAGGTCTTTCTCTCTCTAACCTATTTGTTCTAGCGAAGACACTTTCTCTGAGTCGCTCTGGATAAGAGCATCTGCTAAATGCTATAAACATAAATGTATAAATATACAGTTGTATGCAAAACAACTGGTAAAAATTGGCCCATATAATAATAAGCAGACTTACGGTACATTTCTGCATGACAAGAAACACAGCGAGACACTGACGCAGTAAAAGTGGGTGGTACCTTCCTTTAGTCTAATAAATATTACCATTTGCAACTATGCTATAACTTATGCTGTTTCTGTGGCCCAAATACTGATGACCCATCCTTTCATCCTATTTTGTTCACACATCTTTCAAATCTCTCTTAACTCTCCAATTATAATTGGATACTTTAATACAGTTATTGGTCCAGATTTAGTAAGGATCGGTAATTTACTCAACACACAGAACTGGCCATCCACAGAGACAATAAAACAACTCCTGTCCGATTTGGGCTTGGTGATGGTTGGTGTCTTGAACACCTGAGTTCTCATTTTACTCAGCAGTTCACGGCTCAAATTCCCACATAGACTTCCTCTTAATCAGAAATTCAGTTATACCATATACAGTGACCACGCTTACATGGAACGCAGATCATCCATATAATTCAGCCCTCAGATGGCACTCTAACACGTACCTACCAAAAGATCTGGATTATAGTAATAATAATAATTACATATTTTATAATAATATATAATTTATAGATTTTAAAAGAGCATGGCCATTCTTCCTGGAAATAAATGATTCCTCTGAAACTCCACCAATATTTATATGGGAAACAGGAAAAGCTGTACTAAGAGGCAAAATAATACCATACTCTTCCTATAAAAAAAGAAAGATACAGAAATGAATTATAATTTAGAACAGAAAATTAAAGAATCAGAGAATAAGATGGTAAATAACCCCACTAAGAACACTGAGTATGAATTACATGAATACAAATTACAAAAATTCATGAACAAAACCCAGTTTTTACACTTCTCATTGCACTAACCATCACCAAGAAAATGATTTTCATGAAATCAAGAAAAACATTAACTTCACCAACTGTAAAAAAAACTTCCTAACTGACTATCAATGGGAAAAAATTCTAACACTAAACCCACAGAAGTGAACTCAGCCTGGACTCACTCACTTCCCTCTTACATTAGTGACTCCTCCAACAGCTGATGATACCCTTATTAGACTGTCCTCTCTCTCTCTCACTCTCTCTCTCACTCTCTCTCTCTCTGTCTCTCTCTCTCTCTCTCTCTCACTCTCACACACACAAAATATCAAATAACTGTATTGTTAATAGTTCTGGTTTACTATCTATGTCTAAGTAGTTCTTAGTTTAAATTTCAGATTGTGTTTGTTTATCATTATTATTAGTATTAGTATTATTATTAGTATTATTATTAGTAGTAGAAGTAGTAGTAGTAGTTTTTCTTGCGTTCAATGCCTTTTGTTTTTTTTTTTCTTTCTCTCTTTTTCTCCTTTTCCTCTCTTATATGTATTTGTTGTTTTGTGTTCATCAGTACACATCCTCCCTCTTTATCGGGACGGATCTCTCTATTTATCACCACCTATAAAGTCTTTGTTGTCCTCCAAGGATGGGGGCTGGTAAGTAACATAAATAAATATAATCTATACGCTGTGAACACAGCCTACACTCTATCAGAAAATCACACAAACACGTTACACATACGACATGTAGAACATTCTGCATTGACTGCACCTCTTAATGTGCCCACTAAACTAATCTACTCAACTAAAACCGTTTCCTTGGAATGCACATGTAACATTAAATACTAGAAAAGTCCTCACTTTAATCATTTTAAGTCACTTCATACAAGCTTGTGTCACTTCACTGCACATTCACCACTGCAGTGACCAGCTAAAGAGAAGAGACTCATCTAAAGAGCAGTCTGAGCCCCTAATTCACTAAAGACGAGTGTGAGCTCTAATTCAGGACTGCCCTGCTCTTCTTTCACACCCAGTCAAACAACACCTGATCATCAGTGAAGGTCTGGATCAGTATTTACAGATAACAGAAAATGCATGATGGCTGAGTAAAAAAGGACAGTCAGGTACGCTGTTATAATAAAAGAATGTCAATAACAACTTTCTATGATGTGCTGTACAATGCAGAAATGAAGAAAACGCACCTTTCCTGATTCATCTGGCACAGACAAAATTGAACTGCCTGTCACAATGAAAATCATCCCAGAGACCTACAAGAACAGTGAAAAATCAACTCAAAATCAAAAAAACACACAATATTCCAGTCATTATAAAAGCACAGGGGTGGAAAAGATGGTAATGGATATATACCACTGTAATAAATGCAAATATAAATCATAAATATTCTATTAAAAAGACTCTGCTAGGAGCATTTCTCAGTGAGATGAGCATGTAGCCACCAGTACAGTGTGAGGAAACATTTGAGAAATGTTTAGAAGAACTGTCATCTCATTACCGTTGTTGTAGATCTTCAGACACTTTCCGGAGCCGTTCGGCTCACCTGGGCTCCAGTTAGTGTGGTCAAAATCAGAGAAATCAGTCCAAAACCAGATACCGGAATCCTGAAGAAGAGCAATCTGAAATGAGTATCCACTGCCCCAGAGAGAAGAGACCAAGCAGGAAGAACAGTGTGACAGATTCAGCACCAACTCAAACACACTTACTCCGTCAGTGTGGCCTCCGAGCCACACTCCATCAGCCTGAGTGTGAATCAGACTCATAATGAAATTGTTTTCATTCTTATTGTGCACTGAAGCCAGATGAGCGTCGAACTGCTTACAGGTGCTCTACAGATAGAATTGACAGAGAGACAAACATTTCACTGAGATGTACATTTACTTCATTCTGACCTGTTTAGACGTCTCCTTTTAAATATTGGAGTTTCTGCTCCAAACCTTGCTCTTCTGTCACGCAGCAGACTCAAACGTGGACTCCATATCATGTGTCTGCTGAACTTCCTCGTTCCACCAATCAACGTTTGCAATCACCAGAATGCTGATACAATGCACCAGTTTCTGGGGCATTTGACTAGTTTAGTTTAGTGTAACACCCTTAGGGCACTATTAGGTGTGTTTTTCCCCCCGTTTTTGTCAGTTCCTCTTTCAGTTGTTGTAACTCTAGTAATTATATGAGACAGCCACATGTTATATGTTGTTTTATTTTCAGAAGACATGTGGCTTCTCAAATATGTAATCACCTGAGTTGTAAATGCCCACAGAGGTTTGATATTTTTATGAAACTGGACATGTTTTGATCAAAATTTTACCAAGCGCCTGTTTTTTTTTTATTTTACTTATTTTTGACTATCTATTCAAAACATCACTGCACTGCTTAGATGTCAATGAGAAAGTTTTAGAATAAAGTGTCTATGAGTTGAAAATATTAGAATTTTGAATTTTGTTGATTGTTCATTACATGGCTTATTACTGTGAAATAGTATGTGATTAGCATCAGGCGGACTTATTTTTCTTGATATTCTCACCTAAAGGATCCATGCAGATTGCTAAAACTGCATGTGACAGACTGACACAGCAGGTCAAGCCTTTGGGTTTTTTGTTCAGGGCCAATATGGCTAATATTCCAGCTAATAAAACACTGTTTTAGTACACTGGGTGTTTATTATCAGCTGCTTATAATAACAATGACTCCTATAATAAAGAATCCTTCCAGAAATGATCAGATAAACACTGCTTTATCTAGAAAACACACAGTAAAGAGTCTGTACCGTAATATAAACCTGAAATCTGGATCAGTCCAGCGGTGTTGGACGGACGCCAAAAGACTCTGAAGGTGCGCGCGCAGCAGGAAAACTGACGACATGCGCGCAGCTTCAGAGCGGCTGATCGGCGGAGGCGCTGAGAGGCGCTGAAGAGGCGTTTTCGGTGGATAATACTGACTCATCTAATCAAATATTAGATTTGAAACACCATGTAAATATTTCACAAGCCCTATAGTAAATAATAGTAGTGGAAATAAAGCGAAATGCAGAGTTTATCAGCACAGAAATTGAAATTTACTAGAGAAATAAAACATAAACTTTGAAGGAGCGTCTATTTTTACTGTTTTTCCACGGCGGATTACTCACAGATGCTTCATCGGACCGCGATGGGCCGCTATTTTTAGAAACGGTAGACGCCGCAGTTTCTAAGGATATGCGTAGTGAACTGCTGCGGTAAAGCAGTCCTGAGGTATAAAGCTCAGAAGACAAGGTGTGATTTGTGACGCAAAACACGTCACGAGGGTCTTCAGGGTTAAAAGCCTGGGCTTTAGAGTAGATGACTTGCAAGGTAGTGTTTCTCTTTGTAGAGCTGCTGAGCATTTCTTGAGTATTATTGTTTGCCATGTTGTGTGTCGGACTCTGATTCGGGATTTACTGACGTTGTCTTTTGGTCTTTGCCCTTTTGGTTTTGGTTGCCTTGGTAATGTTAGTGCTCTTTTGTCTGACATAAACTGACTATAATTCTTGTCAAATCCTTTTTTATTAAAGCCTCATCAGTTTTTACCGCGAGCGTCTGACTAGGGCTGTCGCGTTACATCTTCAGAATGTCACACTGGAAAGAAAATACTAAATGAACAACTTTATAACATTACATTCTTACAACTAAAACACCGTACCCGTTTAAATACAAATTAAAAAATGAAGTCAACTCAATCTGATTTAAATATCAAGACCCTAAAGTAGAACAGTCCAACTTAGAATATTTCCACAAAGCACTGTGGTTTAGGCTGTAAACTTGTAGGAACAGCACTGAATAAACGCACCTCAGCCTGCTTCCACGTGTTTTGGACGGTGAAGAATTTGAAGTGGCGCAATCCGAACGATAACCATTCAGAGGCTCGGAGAACAGGTTGATTATCTCCCACAGAGCCTGCATGAACAACACATTGTGAGAGTTTGAATATCTACAGAGATGACAAACTTGGACAAACACAACAAACACTACACTTGAACTTTATCTTGAAATTGTGGTTCAGACCTTGTGGTTCAGACCTACAGAGACACTGAACAGTTTAGAAAAACCCTGGACATTGAAATGGCTCTTCTCATTAAAGGCCTCTACATCACTGGGTTGTTTTCATGATACACAATTTCTATGCCTCAATAGCCACATTTACATGCAGCCTATTAATTGGTGAATAATCCAACTAATAGCTCAATCGGAATAGAATACATCCATGTAAACACCTCAGTCGGAACAGACTAGTCTGATTGAGGCCATTCGGAATACAGTTTCTATCCGACTGAATGAGGTGGGTAATCCTGTAAATAATCCGTTAAATAGAAGAATAATATCCATGTAAACGCCTGTTTCTGATTACATTCCCTATCAGAAAGTTTAAGTATGTTCTGATCATGTTCGTCGCGTCATAGTGAAAGTTTATACCGTGCAACATGGCGGAGCAGAAACTGGTCTGCAGAGGAGACCAAGTTTATGCTCTGCTCTTTAAAAGATGGCGGTGGGACGGACGTCCAGCTTATGTGTCTCAGAACACGACGTCTTCCTCTCGCCACTTCCTTTATAAGTATATGTGAAGGATGTTTTTCTGAATCTGACATTAACTGGAAACTCATCTCACTCGGACTGGACCTCACGTGATGTTCGCTGTAATGGTAACATTTACACTAAGTGGTACTCCACGCATACACATCATTTTGCATCGGATTACTTGTAGTGCACATATAAACGAATATTTTCATCAGATTGTTGAGTAGAGTGAGAATAAACACCTCAGTCTGAATCTGTAATCAGAATACATTCAATCGGATTGGCAAAAATGTTTGCATGTAAACATAGCCAGTGATTCCTTCTTTGCTGATATGTAGAACGTTTTACAACGCAGCAGCAGACAGTGCCCAAAAAGCAGCTGGATGTGAGAAAATGATGGTGAAACAATAAAAAAAACTCTCTCAGAATATCAAAGGACTGCAAAAAAGAAGGAAAAATGAAATGAACAGGCAGTTAAAACAGGCTACACGATGATTGTCCTGAAACTTACCAAGAGATGGAGGGAGCTGGGCACCAATTTTAACATCACCATAAGCCCCTGAAATCAGTGAACAAAAATTTTACACATTGGCATATATTCAGTACCCCTGTTAGGCAAAAGCCGGTGGATGCTCTCCTAATTATTGAGTTCAGGTGTTTCAGCCACACCCATTGCTAACAGGTGTATACAAATAAACACATAGCCATTCAGTCTCCACAGACAAACACTGTCATAGGATGACACTTTTGCTTAGGGTCAGTTCTTGAAATGCCTGACCTGGTAGATCTGTCACAGTCAACTGTGAGTGCTAATATCATGAATCGGTAGCATTTCAGCCCAATAACTTCTCAGGGTGAAGGGTGATGTTAAAGCTACAGCACAAAGACATTTTACACAGTCATCTGCTTCCAGCTTTATGTCAGCAGTTGGGGGAAGAGCCATTCCTGTTCCAGCATGACTGAGTCCCTGTGCACAAAGCAGCTCCATAAAGACATGGAGTGACCAGTTTGGCACAGAGCCCTGACCTGTCAAATGCTCTTGTGATGAATGTTAAAACATTGCTGCCCATACAGTGTAGCTTATACTGTCTCTGAACACAATGAATTCAAATCATACATTAAACAAATACCACATACTACATTTAATGTAGCTGTTTCTGTGACTTATCCAATCTGAATAGGAAAATAGGAAAATCTACTGAACTAGCACTGTTTTATTGGAATGATGTTTTATGAAAATCTGAGAAGAATCAATTTAACTCAAGTCCTAACTTTCATTGTTTAAGTCACTTCATACAAGCCTGTGTCACTTCATTACACACACACTACTGTAGTGACCAGCTAAAGAGAGGAGACTCATCTAAAGAACAATCTGAGCCCCTAATTCAGTAAAGAGGAGTGTGAACTCTTTCACACCCACTCAAATGTCAGCTGATCATCTCTAAAGGTCTGGATCAATATTTGAAGATAAAAAACATATCATTTCTGAAAAACACAAATCTTCCAGGTCCACTGTTAAAAAACATAAACTCACCTTTCGTGATCAGTCGAGCACAGACAAAAGGAATTTTACTGTTGCAGTTAAGATCATCCCAGCCACCTGCAAGAACAGTGCACAGATTTCTATAAAATACAGTCATGATGAAAAAACACACAATATTCCAGTCATTATAAAAGCACAGGGGTGGAAAACATGGTAATGGATATAAACCACTATCATAAAGGCAAATATAGACCAGAAGTATTATATCAAAAAGACTATGCATGGAACATTTCATGTAGCCACCAGTACAGTGTGTGGAACAAAGTTAGAGAAGAACTTTTAATCTCGCTACGTTTGAAGTTGGTCTGCAGACAGTGTCCAGAGCCTTCTGGCTGGCCTGGGGTCCAGGGAGAGAAGACAAAAGGAGACTCATCTGTCCAGTACCAGCGTTTGGGAACCTGAAGAACAGCAATCTGAAATGAGTATCCACTGTCCCCGAGAGAGGAGACTGAGCACACAGAACACTGGGAGAGATTCAGCACTAACTCAAACACACTTACCATGTGACTGTTGTAGCCACCGAGCCACGAGGGACGATTATAACCAGCCTGATTGTAAATCAGACGCCTAATGAAATAGTCTTCATTCTCATTGTGCACTGAAGCCAGATGAGCGCCGTACTCCACACAGGTGCTCTACAGGAGGAATTAATAGGGACAGACATTTCACCAGGATGGACTTTTACTTTAACCCAACCTGTTTGGACGTCTCTTTTTAGATGTTGGAGTTTCTACTCCAAATCTTGCTCTTCAGTATTTCACACTGGATGAGACACTAATGAACACTTTATAACATTATATTCTTACAACTAGAACATCAAACGCATTTAAAAGTAAAAATTAAAGCATAAAATCAACTCAAACTGCTTTACTGATCAAATGTTGGAAGGTAGAACTGTCCACCTTAAGGATACTTTTTACAAAATATGGTGGTTTAGACTGAACACCTGTAGGAACAGCATTGAATAAACACACCTCAGCCTCCTCCCAGGTTTTTTCGATGGCAAAGAACATGAACTGGCGTGGTCCATATGATGTCCATGCAGATTTAGCGTCAACTGCCTGTTTTGTTTCCACAGTGCCTGCATCAACAACAGATTGTTAGAGTTGATACATCTAAGAAGATGTCAAGTTTGGCCAAAAACAACAAAACTACACTTTTACATTATCTTGGAATTTCTAAGATGGTGGTTCAAACCTATAGGGACAATGAACAGTTCAGAAAAACCTTGGACATTTAAATGGCTCTTATCATTGAAATCGTCTAGATCGTTGGGTTGTTTTCATGGTACAGGTGCAGGTCAACTGATAATGCTCAAATACAAAAACAATATTTGTTTCAGTAAAAGCACAAATCGTAATTCTGCTAATATCTAAGTCTCATTTTCTTCTGCTTTGCTGATATATTTAACGTTTTAGAGCACAACAGTGGATGGTGCCCAAAAAGCAGCTGGATGTGAGTCAAAAAACTCTTCTAGAATATCAAATAAAGCTTAAAAGCAAGAAAAATAAAATAAACCTGCAGTGGAAACAGGCTACACAGCCATTACCCTTAAATTTACCAAGAGATGGAGCGAGCTGGGCATCACTTGTACCAGCTGTATGAGCCCCTGAAAACAATGAACAAATCTATGAGACCTCTGCATATATTCTATAAACCATACACTCTATAGGCAAAAGCCTGGGGACCCTCTCTAATTATTGAGTTCAGGTGTTTCAGCCACACCCATTGCTAACAGGTATATTCAATCAAGCTCATAGCCATGCAGTCTCCATAGACAAACACTGGCAGTAGAAGAGGTGGTGCTGAAGAGCTCAGTGACCTTCAGCATGGCACTGTCACAGGATGACACTTTTGCTTAGGGTCAGTTCTTGAAATGCCTGACCTGGTAGATCTGCCACAGTCAACTGTGAGTGCTAATATCATGAATCGGTAGCATTTCAGCCCAATAACTTCTCAGCCACCGAGCAGTAGAACACGCCAACCCATAGAATGAAGACTCTGAGTGCCGACACAAGCAGCACATTAGAAAAGGCTTATCTTCTGTAATTGTTCACTAAAGAGCTCAGACTGCCTCTGGGTTAACATCAGCACAAGAACTGAGCATCAGGAGCTTCATGGAGTGGGTTTCAGTGTTTGGGCTCTCAGTTCCAGTGAAGGGTGATGTTAAAGCTACAGCACAAAGACATTTTACACAGTTATCTGCTTCCAGCTTTGTGTCAGCAGTTTGGGGAAGAGCCTTTCCTGTTCCAGCATGACTGAGTCCCTGTGCACAAAGCAGCTCCATAAAGACATGGAGTGACCAGTTTGGTGTGGACGAACTCCAGTGGCCTGCACAGAGCCCTGACCTGTCAAATGCTCTTGTGATGAATGTTAAAACATTGCTGCCCATACAGTGTAGCTTATACTGTCTCTGAACACAATGAATTCAAATCATACATTAAACAAATACCACATACTACATTTAATGTAGCTGTTTCTGTGACTTATCCAATCTGAATAGGACTTTGTAGAAAATCTACTGAACTAACACTGTTTTATTGGAACGATCTTTCATGAAAATCTGAGAAGAATCAATTTAACTCAAGTCCTAACTTTCATTGTTTAAGTCACTTCATACAAGCCTGTGTCACTTCATTACACACATACACCACTGTAGTGACCAGCTAAACAGAGGAGACTCATCTAAAGAACAATCTGAGCCCCTAATTCAGTAAAGAGGAGTGTGAACTCTTTCACACCCACTCAAATGTCACCTGATCATCTCTAAAGGTCTGGATCAATATTTGGAGATAAAAAAAAAACATATCATTTCTGAAAAACACAATCTTCCAGGTCCACTGTTAAAAAACATAAACTCACCTTTCGTGACCAGTCGAGCACAGACAAAAGGAATTTTACTGTTGCAGTTAAGATCATCCCAGCCACCTGCAAGAACAGTGCACAGATTTCTATAAAATACAGTCATGATGAAAAAACACACAATATTCCAGTCATTATAAAAGCACAGGGGTGGAAAACATGGTAATGGATATAAACCACTGTCATAAAGGCAAATATAGACCATAAATATTATATCAAAAAGACTATGCATGGAACATTTAATGTAGCCACCAGTACAGTGTGTGGAACAAAGTTAGAGAAGAATTTTAATCTCGTTACCTTTGAAGTTGGTCTGCAGACAGTGTCCAGAGCCATCTGGCTGGCCTGGGGTCCAGGGAGAGAAGTCAAAAGCAGACTCATCTGTCCAGTACCAGCGTTGTGGAACCTGAAGAACAGCAATCTGAAATGAGTATCCACTGTCCCAGAGAGAGGAGACTGAGCACACAGAACACTGGGAGAGAGTCAGCACCAACTCAAACACACTTACTATGTGACTGTTGTAGCCACCGAGCCACGAGGGACGATTAGAACCAGCCTGATTGTAAATCAGACGCTTAATCAAACGGTCTTCATTCTCACTGTGCACTGAAGCCAGATGAGCGCCGTACTCCACACAGGTGCTCTACAGGAGGAATTAATAGGGACAGACATTTCACCAGGATGGACTTTTACTTTAACACAACCTGTTTGGACGTCTCCTTTTAGATGTTGGAGTTTCTACTCCAAATCTTGCTCTTCAGTATTTCACACTGGATGAGACACTAATGAACACTTTATAACATTATATTCTTACAACTAGAACATCAAACACTTTTAAAAATAAAAATTAAAGCATAAAATCAACTCAAACTGCTTTACTGATCAAATGTTGGAAGGTAGAACTGTCCACCTTAAGGATACTTTTTACAAAATATGGTGGTTTAGACTGAACACCTGTAGGAACAGCATTGAATAAACACACCTCAGCCTCCTCCCAGGTTTTTTCGATGGCAAAGAACATGAACTGGCGTGGTCCATATGATGTCCATGCAGATTTAGCGTCAACTGCCTGTTTTGTTTCCACAGTGCCTGCATCAACAACAGATTGTTAGAGTTGATACATCTAAGAAGATGTCAAGTTTGGCCAAAAACAACAAAACTACACTTTTACATTATCTTGGAATTTCTAAGATGGTGGTTCAAACCTCTAGGGACAATGAACAGTTCAGAAAAACCTTGGACATTTAAATGGCTCTTATCATTGAAATCGTCTAGATCGTTGGGTTGTTTTCATGGTACAGGTGCAGGTCAACTGATAATGCTCAAATACAAAAACAATATTTGTTTCAGTAAAAGTACAAATCGTAATTCTGCTAATATCTAAGTCTCATTTTCTTCTGCTTTGCTGATATATTTAACGTTTTAGAGCACAACAGTGGACAGTGCCCAAAAAGCAGCTGGATGTGAGTCAAAAAACTCTTCTAGAATATCAAATAAAGCTTAAAAGCAAGAAAAATAAAATAAACCTGCAGTGGAAACAGGCTACACAGCCATTACCCTTAAACTTACCAGGAGCGGGAGCGAGCTGGGCATCACTTGTACCAGCTGTATTAGCCCCTGAAAACAATGAACAAATCTATGAGACCTCTGCATATATTCTATAAACCATACACTCTATAGGCAAAAGCCTGGGGACCCTCTCTAATTATTGAGTTCAGGTGTTTCAGCCACACCCATTGCTAACAGGTGTATTCAATCAAGCTCATAGCCATGCAGTCTCCATAGACAAACACTGGCAGTAGAAGAGGTGGTGCTGAAGAGCTCAGTGACCTTCAGCATGGCACTGTCACAGGATGACACTTTTGCTTAGGGTCAGTTCTTGAAATGCCTGACCTGGTAGATCTGCCACAGTCAACTGTGAGTGCTAATATCATGAATCGCTAGCATTTCAGCCTAATAACTTCTCAGGGTGAAGGGTGATATTAAAGCTGCAGCACAAAGACATTTTACACAGTTATCTGCTTCCAGCTTTGTGTCAGCAGTTTGGGGAAGAGCCATTCCTGTTCCAGCATGACTGAGTCCCTGTGCACAAAGCAGCTCCATAAAGACATGGAGTGACCAGTTTGGTGTGGACGAACTCCAGTGGCCTGCACAGAGCCCTGACCTGTCAAATGCTCTTGTGATGAATGGACACAAATTCCCACAGACACTGCAAAATCTTGTAGAATGCCTTCCTAGAAGAGTGGATGGTGTTATAAAGGGGAACAACTCCACAATAATGGCCATGAATTTGGAATGGGAATGTCAACAAGCTCATATGAATGTGATGGTCAAATGTTAAAACATTGCTGCCCATACAGTGTAGCTTATACTGTCTCTGAACACAATGAATTCAAATCATACATTGAACAAATACCACATACTATATTTAATGTAGCTGTTTCTGTGACTTATCCAATCTGAATAGGACTTTGTAGAAAATCTACTGAACTAGCACTGTTTTATTGGAATGATCTTTCATGAAAATCTGAGAAGAATCAATTTAACTCAAGTCCTAACTTTCATTGTTTAAGTCACTTCATACAAGCCTGTGTCACTTCATTACACACATACACCACTGTAGTGACCAGCTAAACAGAGGAGACTCATCTAAAGAACAATCTGAGCCCCTAATTCAGTAAAGAGGAGTGTGAACTCTTTCACACCCACTCAAATGTCACCTGATCATCTCTAAAGGTCTGGATCAATATTTGAAGATGAAAAAAAAACATATTTCTGAAAAACACAATCTTCCAGGTCCACTGTTAAAAAACATAAACTCACCTTTCGTGACCAGTCGAGCACAGACAAAAGGAATTTTACTGTTGCAGTCAAGATCATCCCAGCCACCTGCAAGAACAGTGCACAGATTTCTATAAAATACAGTCATGATGAAAAAACACACAATATTCCAGTCAATATAAAAGCACAGGGGTGGAAAACATGGTAATGGATATAAACCACTATCATAAAGGCAAATATAGACCATAAATATTATATCAAAAAGACTATGCATGGAACATTTAATGTAGCCACCAGTACAGTGTGTGGAACAAAGTTAGAGAAGAATTTTAATCTCGTTACCTTTGAAGTTGGTCTGCAGACAGTGTCCAGAGCCATCTGGCTGGCCTGGGGTCCAGGGAGAGAAGTCAAAAGCAGACTCATCTGTCCAGTACCAGCGTTGTGGAACCTGAAGAACAGCAATCTGAAATGAGTATCCACTGTCCCCGAGAGAGGAGACTGAGCACACAGAACACTGGGAGAGATTCAGCACTAACTCAAACAAACTTACTATGTGACTGTTGTAGCCACCGAGCCACGAGGGACGATCAGAACCAGCCTGATTGTAAATCAGACGCTTAATGAAAGAGTCTTCATTCTCACTGTGCACTGAAGCCAGATGAGCGCCGTACTCCACACAGGTGCTCTACAGGAAGAATTAATAGGGACAGACATTTCACCAGGATGGACTTTTACTTTAACACAACCTGTTTGGACGTCTCCTTTTAGATGTTGGAGTTTCTACTCCAAATCTTGCTCTTCAGTATTTCACACTGGATGAGACACTAATGAACACTTTATAACATTATATTCTTTAAAGCATAAAATCAACTCAAACTGCTTTACTGATCAAATGTTGGAAGGTAGAACTGTCCACCTTAAGGATACTTTTTACAAAATATGGTGGTTTAGACTGAACACCTGTAGGAACAGCATTGAATAAACACACCTCAGCCTCCTCCCAGGTTTTTTCGATGGCAAAGAACATGAACTGGCGTGGTCCATATGGTATCCAACCAGAGGCTTTGAGAACAGGTTGTTTATCTCCCACAGAGCCTGCATCAACAACAGATTGTGAGAGTTTGAATATCTAAAAAGATGTCAAATTTGGCCAAAACAAGCCAAAACAACAAAAACTACATTTTACATTATCTTGGAATATCTAAGATGGTGGTTCAAATTTACAGGGACAATGAACAGTTCAGAGATTAACGTGGCTTTTCTCATTGAAAGCTTCTACATTGATAGTTCATTTTATGGTACAGGTGTTTGTCAAGTGAGAACTCTCAAAGATAAAAACAATATTTGTTTCTGAAAAAGCACAAATCGTGTTCTGCTAATCTCCAAGTCTCATTTTCTTCTGTTTTCCTGATATATTTAACGTTTTAGAGCACAACAGTGGACAGTGCCCAAAAAGCTGCTGGATGGGAGTTCAAAGAACTCTTCTAGAATATCAAAAAAAGCTTAAAAGCAAGAAAAATAAAATAAACCTGCAGTGGTTACCCTCAAACTTACCAAGAGATGGAGGAAGGTTGAGATCATCTCCAACAGCAACATCAGCACCTGAAATCAATGAATAAATATGTAACACTTCAGCATACTGTTTTTTTTCCGCAGTGTCTGCATCAACAGCAGTTTATGAGCGTTTGAATACCTACAGAGACGCCAAATCCAGACACACACAATTTCAAAGTCTCAATGATTCCTTCTTTGCTGATATGTTGAAAGTTTTGTAGCAGCAGACAGTGCTCAAAAGGCAGCTGAATGTGAGCAAATGATCATCTCTAACAACAACATCAGATTCCGAAATCAATGAATATATATTTAGCACCTTGGTGTACTGTTTTTTTTGCACAGTGTCTGCATCAACAATAGATTGTGAGAGTTTAAATATGTAAAAATATGACAAAACAACCATTTACATTAATATCATATTACATTTCTATCATGGTGTGTTAAACCTAAAGAGGCATTAAACAGTTTAAAAAAAAGCCCTGAACATTAACATGGCTCTTCTCATTAAAGGCTTCTAGATCAACAGGTCATTTTTATGGTACAGATGTATTTCAATTTCAAACTGGAAATACATCCAAGAAACACACAAAAAACAAAAAAACCTACAAAGCTTTATTCATTCCTTCAAGTCTCTTCTGCTTCACTGTTCTATCAGGGATTGCACAATTGTGACCAAATTTGTTCAGTTAGTTGCCAAGAAAAGTTCCCAAACATAAAATAACTGAAAGTCCAAAATTAGATGCTAAAATATTGCTTGACTCCCTGAAAATAAATGGTCTCAAACAGTACAGTTGTTGTTATCAGCCTCTGGTGGCTTATCTTGAAAACATCTCCCTTCCTTTGTGAAGGTGCTGAATTGTCTACTAAAGTCTTTACAAAAGAAAAACTCAGCAGTTGTCTAAAAATGTTGATGATTATAAATGTCAGGGCCTCGAATGATGCAACACATTATAGAGACGACACTGTAAGTCATCCAAAGACCAAATTTGGAGAGTAGGTTCAGTATGTGACCCAATACACAGGCAAATGAAATTATCCAAACTGGCCTAATGGTACCACTATACAATCATACATTCAGACCATTTCTCCTGAACCATCTCTCCTCTCATAAGATCTACACTCAAATTTCTTTTTTCCACAGTATCCTTTGTTTATTCTACATAAGTGCCTCACTGGGATTAGTTATTTATTTCCTGCCACAAAAACTTTAGATGATTGGGAAAATACATGAAACCTTATTTTTCAAACAAGTGAATTTTTAAAATGTCAATTTTCAAGATTTCAAAATCTTCACAGCAGTCTAAAGATCAAGAATTATCACAAAACTTGGATGTTTATAAACAGTAGGGCCACCATGTGTTAATTAGTCCTTCTGAAGTGGAGCTAAGTTTGCATATATGGCTGTTTTCTCTATATAAAAGAGAATGTGACACTGAAAAAAAAAATGATCTCAATAAAACATTTAAATAATAACAATTGGAAGTTGTGAACTAGTTGCTAAAATGATGCTTGGTTCTTTGTTGCCCCTACAAATAAATGATCTCTCAAAGTGCAGTTTTCCTCTGGGCTGCTAGAGGCTTACCATGAAACCATCTCTCATCTGGTGTGAAGGTGCTGGGTTTGAATCCTGTCTGAGCTGTCATTGCAAACTTAAGTCACTAATTGTGACTAAATTTGGAACATAGGTCCCGTCTGAGCTGTTGGTGCATGCGAACAATTTAAGGCTTGTATCCTAATATCTTTGGAGGAGTTGAAACAATAATTAACAACAAATGTGAATTTTTATAAACATGAGTGCCTCATTGCGCTGATGGTGCTTGGACCCCGATGATTGCCCCTTGTGACTACAAGCAACTTTTTGTGCTTGTTTGCTTTTAAAAGGATACGTTTAGTGCGTTTAAAATAAAGTTGAAATATTTAGATTTATCATAAGTTTAATTTTGGGTGGCACGGTGGCGCAGTGGGTAGCGCTGTCGCCTCACAGCAAGAATGGCCTGGGTTCGATTCCCGGCCGGGCGACCAGGGTCATTTCTGTGTGGAGTTTGCATGTTCTCCCCGTGTCGGCATGGGTTTCCTCCGGGTACTCCGGTTTCCTCCCACAGTCCAAAGACATGCCGTCAGGCCAATTGGACATGCTGAATTGCCCCTAGGTGTGAGTGAGTGCGTGAATGTGTATGTCTGTCTGTCTGTCTGCCCTGCGATGGACTGGCGACCTGTCCAGGGTGTATCCTGCCTTCCGCCCAATGACAGCTGGGATAGGCTCCAGCACCCCACCGCGACCCAGAAGGATAAGCGGTTTAGACGATGGATGGATGGATAAGTTTAATTTTCAAGTAAAAAAAAAATTATTTAAAATTTATGTGCCACATTTTCATGTCAATTACAAAACAAAAAGGCTGTATTCAAAACAGCACACTACTATACAATGTACTGTATATTGCACTAGTATATACTGATACTGCATACTACTCTTGGTAATAGTACACAGTACAGTATCCAGTATAAGACAATATCCATGTGCTGCACTACAGAAAGGGGGCGCAACTAGACGGCCAACATCTGGGACTGAGCCAATCAGAACCATCTCAAAACCTGGTATATTTTCCTTTGCCCTCCAGTAACTACTTAGCAACCATTGCTAGCCTCTTTTCGGGTCAGATCTTTATCAACACGTGAATATATTTTAGTGAAGAGGCATGCCTGCTGAGTTTTAAAATGATACCAATACAGAATGGAGGGTGCTGTTTGGAGTAAACCATGTGGTTACATCAGTGGTTATGTCCTCCTGAAATGACTGTGTTGCATTATGGAATGTCGTATATAAAGACAGAACATAACCCAAACCACGTACTGTAAAATTTTGCCAGAGTAGTACATCACCGGGTATCTTTGTAATACTGAGAAAATTCATGTTGGTCACATACTGCATTCTAACTACTTTCTTGTGGGCACAATCAGTACACGAGCAGTATGTAGTAGACCATTTCCAACAAAAACCAAAGATTTTAATCTGTAATTTTAGCCACGCCCCTGCATTTTACAGCAGGAAGTGAGGCTGCATCCCATAGATCCCATTGTTTTAAAGTAAATGTGTCTAAAACTCTGAAAATCAGTGTGGAACATTAAGAATCACCATATTTTCTGCAGTTAGGCAATTTTTAGTGTTTTAATGTAAAATATGATGATTTTCTGTGTGAACAGCTGTTCAGAGCTGTGTTTGCTGTTCATACTGGCTGCGTTTTTGAGCTAAAAATAAGCTAAAATTGTTACCAAAACAGTCACTACTGAAACATTTGGCAAGGTTTGGTAGAGTTATGATTGTTTTGGTCATGATGAAATGGAATTTTAATCAAATGAACGTAATTAGTTAAATGTCCAAAATATGTTTGATTCTGACTTTGAGCCAGTTCAGTAGAATAATCCACTGATGTTCATCTTAAAAAGGGGGGAAAGATACAAAACACACAGTATTGTTCCTGCATTATTTAATTGACAAAAATAAGTATTTCACACCAGTGTGTCAATACTTATGTGTCAGTGTAGATTAATCTCCTAATCTGAGTGCTGGAGTTGTTCCTGATTTCTCTCAGAATCACACACTATTTTATACAGTCCTTAATCCGTAATGATGTGACTGCATATCAGTGAAATGGATGTGTTTTCTCACCAGCTAGCTGGACACTGAGGAGACACATGACCCCAAGGAGTAAGGAGGAGCACCGGATCGCCATGACGGCAGAGACTGCAGAGAAATTTCAGACACAGTAGATCAGTGACAGAATTTAATGTATCAGAGACTCTACGTTCACAATGTACACAAACAGAGAGTTTAACTCATTAAGTCTTTTGTCAGAGTAAATGTAGCTGTTAGATGTTGAGCTTCATTTGAAATAATTTTAAAATACAAATATACAGCAGAAGCTGGTCAGTGAGGGAAGGTTTGAAACGCTCTACCTTTAGATCTCCAGCCAGTCTCCTTTAAAATTTTAACAGAGCTCTGAGAGAAGAAGTGGAAATTGTGGAGATACTGTTATAGTTTGTGGCATAACTACTAGTCACAAGAATTTCTAGGGAAGTTCATCAACATGTTTTTCTAGAGAATTGCAGGGATGATGGTGCTGGATATCATTGTGTAACGGTGTTCACTTGCACTTTTAGTGGGTGTTTCCATGTTTTTATGGAAAAGCAGGAACAATACCAAACAGATGTGGTCATTAAACTACCTGATGTGCTGTCCACCGCTGCTCAGAAGCTCACCATGAGACCAAAATACAGACGTATGCTTTAAAGCTTATTAATTTTCAAAATGAATCCGTCATCCACACAACTTAGAAAGTTAGCTAGCTACATTAGCAAGTGACCTTCCAGCTCTGTGTGGTTTAAATTGTGCCTTATCACTCAAACCATGTGAACTTCACCCAGCTGAAGGTCTTTTCTCCAAACCCTCACTGTCTACAGTTCTGTATAAAAGCAGATATTTCATTATTGTGTAAACTGTCATGGATTGAGGGAAGAGACAGAGAGCTGTAGTTTCCACTGTGTACTATCAGAGACAGTCATGTTTGCCGTTCGTGATGAAGACCAGCCTGATTGGCTTAACTCAATGGCTAAACTGAATTTTTTCTTTTGCTTGTCACACATTTACATCACGTCTTCCTGAGTCACTTTGTCTTCATACTAAGGTTTGATTTGATCCATGGCTGCTAAAGGGCTCAGAAAAAGTATTTGCTCCTTCTGATTTTCTCAGTTATTGCATATTTATATATATAATATTAGGCAAAGAGAATCCTTTCAAACACAAAAATATGTTTTTTTAATCATTTCAGTTATTTACAAAGCAAAATAAACCAACATGTGAATAACCCATGGGAAATAGATGCAGTAAAACCGAACAAAAAATGTCTTATTTTGAAAAATAGTATGTAATATCTCGTGAGCTAGCTTGAAGAACAAAGTTTAGTTCAAGATTTGTTCTCGATGACCCCAGATGTCACATGGAATGGTGAAATTTTATGGCCAGCACACTTGATTTAATATAATGATTAGCCAAAGCAAGTATACAAATAATACTCAACTTCCATGAGGAGAGGTTTGGAAATGGTTAAACAAACACATACATAAAAACACTACTTATTGTATTAATAAATATCAATATATTACTAATATTGTGCGGACCATAATTACCAATTAACAAGATATTCTTGTCCTCTGGTGGATGATCTTGTGGATGGGTTCTTCTGCTGAGGTGGTGGAGAACTCTGTGGAGATCTTCCCAAGCAGACAGTGATGCTGGACTGCTGGATCACCTCTTTATATTCAGGAGGAGATGAAGTGGAGAGATCGTATGAGAGACTCTGGTCCAATCAGCAGAGCTGTAAGAAGGAGTGAACTGAAGTGTGTGTTTCAGACACTGTCCTCCAACAGTCTGCCCACATCGCCTACTAGTGGAGTAATTAGTGTACTAGTCAACTGTGCATCCCCTGGTATGTGTTCAGTCAGGAATTTAGGTGTTTCACCAGGTTAATGTAAATTCTGTCATCTTAATCCAGATTTTCTCACTATCAAAGCAGCTGATCTGACTGTTTGCTGTCATAACTACATATAGAGATCAGGGGACAGAGCATGTTTACACTCACCCTAATCAAATGGAACTTCAGGGTCCAAATTAATCCTACCGAATTAGATATTATGACCAAGTGTTTAGAGGGTACTTTTCAATCTACTCTAGACAATGTGGCTCCATTAAAAAGTTAAATAAGGCAGAAAAAGCTGCATCATGGTACAGGGATCGTACTCAAGCTTTAAAACAGACTGTCAGACAACTAGAGCAAAAATAGTGCCTGACTAAACTAGAAGTGTTCCAGTCCGCCTGGAGAGACAGCCTTACTGCAGCAAGCTCAGCCTATCTCTCCTCTCTCATAGAAAACAATAAGAATAATCCTAGATTATTATTTAGCACAATTTATAAATTAACTAAGAACCAAACAGTTACTGAACCCCAGATGCCATCAGCCTATAGCAGCAATGATTTTATGAATTTCTTTAGTGATAAAATTGAAAAATTTAGACAGAAAATTCAGAATATACAATTAAACTACAAATCTGCTGCCACAAAATCTTCTACTTGTATGTTAGATCCGATTCCTACAGGTTTACTCAAAGAAATGTTGCCAGAAATAACCAAGCCTATTTTGTCAATAATAAACTCCTCTCCTATCCTTGGATACATCCCAAAAACTCTCAAACTAGCAGTAATTAGACTCTGATTAAGAAAGCTAACCTCGATCCATGCGAACTATCAAATCATAGACTCATCTTGAATCTCCCCTTTATATCTAAGATCTTGGAAAAAGTTGTAGCAAAACAATTAAGCTCCTATTTGTATAGGAATCATATACATGAAAAAATTCAGTCTGGTTTTAGGCCACATCATAGTACAGAGACAGCACTAATAAGAATTTTTATTCTCTGACCAAGGAAGTAGTCCTCCTCGATCTTAGTGCAGCATTTGACACGATAGACCATGCTATCTTACAAGATAGACTAGAAAACCCTGTAGGAACCAGGAAAGAGCTGTTCCTGTTACCCAGTTTGTTAATGTAAACAGTGAATCATCTGTCCTCAATAAAGTAAAATATGGTGTTCCACAAGGCTCTGTTTTAGGACCTACATTATTCACAATATATATGCTACCACTGGGCACCATTATCAGTAAACACGGCATAAATTTCCACTGCTATGCTGATGACACACAGATCACGTCAGGTTCATCTGTAAAAAGCCTTGGTGTCATTATAGACCCTGATCTGTCCTTCGACGCACATATAACGAGCATTACTACGACAGCCTTCCTGCACCTCTGCAATATTGCTAAATTGAGAAATGCATTCTCTCTACAGGATGCAGAAAAGTTAGTTCATGCATTTATTACTTCAAGGCTAGATTACTGTAATGCCCTGCTGGCTGGATGTCCCAGCAAAAGCCTTAACAAGCTTCAGCTAGTCCAGAACGCTGCAGCCAGAGTTCTTACTAGAACCAGAAAGTTTGACCATATCAGCCCAGTTTTATCAACCCTACACTGGTTACCAGTTAAATTTCGCATTGATTATAAAATTCTCTTACTGACTTATAAAGCTCTAAACGGACTCGCCCCTCAGTACCTGAGTGAACTTCTCTCTCACTATGAACCATCACGCCTACTTAGATCACAAGGTGCTGCTCACTATTAGTACCCAGAATTAATACAGTTACACGCTGTTGCTTCTTCTGCCTTGATCTGGTGCCACTGCTCGCCAGCCCTCTGGATCGTTTTGACCACCATTGAGCTTCACGCGATACAACAAGTGCAAACCTCACCTGCATGAACTGACCCTCCTGCTGCTGCTGCATAAATTCAAACTATCTAATTAACCCAAAGGCCAGCAAATACTGTCCCTTACAAACAGAGATTTCTCCAGATTCTCTGAATTTTTCAGTGATATTATGTACCGTAGGTGATGAAAAGCTAAAGTTCTTTGCTTTTTTACATTGAGAAATGTTAATCTTGAATTGTTGCACTATTTGATTGTGCAGTCTTTCACAGAGTGGTGAACCCCTCCTCATCTTTACTTCTGAAAAACTCTCTGAGATGCTCCTTTATACCCAATCATGTTACTGAGCTGTTGCCAATCAACCACCAGGTGTTTTTTTTAAACATTACACAACTTTACCAGCCTTTTGTTGCCCCATTTTGAAGAAATTCAAAATGGGCAAATATATTTCAAAAAACAATAAAATTTCTTATTTCAACGTTTGATATTTTGTCCTTGTACTATTTTTAATGAAATATAGGGTTTAAATGATTTGAGCATCATTGCATTTTGTTTTTATTTACATTTTGCACAATGTCCCAAATGTATTTATATCCATTTCAAATAATTGTAAAACTGTCCTCCAGAGCTCACAGAACAGTCCAGGATTGGAGAACAACCTACATGAAGCAGGAAACAGAAGGATGAAGGTCAGATCCTCAGCCGTTACCCGCCCACTCTTCCAGAACAGCTCCATCCTGGCACTGCCCAGGCTAACCAACACAATCCACCCGATACCCCTAGTTATGTGCAGTATTTTCTTTGAACAACGTCTTTGGAATGTAGTTCAGATACACCTCCGCGTTCTGTGGAACACAGTAAATGTTTTTAATTGACAGGTTTTCTTGTTTGATTTTAAGCTCCAACATGTTTCTGAAGAGAAAATCTGCAGAACTGACCACTGTACAAAAATTTTATGGTGGCCAAACTTAGTCAATTAATAACTGGTTACACAGCTTTTTAGGAGTTTATTCAACATCTGTATGGGTGCATGGATGTAAAGATCAACACTGACAAACAGCTGGACAAACTGGTACTAAACTTTAAAAATGAAGTTAGTTTGAAACTGTCCCCACTCAAGCAGTGAAGATGGATGACCTCCTCCTTCTTCTTGGCCTAAACAGCCCAGATGGACTAACATGATATTTCACACTGGATTCCTCAACTGAAGAATCTCATTCCTGAATAATTTCAGATTGAGTTCAATTTGAGTTTCGTTTCTCTGCCATATCTTTTAATGACACGTGGCTAAGACTGGCTGATTCGGTTGAATTAAAGAGTTAAATGGTGATTGTGAGTTAAGCAAAAAACGATGCTTATTTGTTTATTAATTACATTAGAATTCATACTAAAGGTAAAGCCACATTATAAGTACATTAAAACATTGTATTTTTAAGTTATTTCTTTCTCTTCTGATTACTTTAGCATATTTCTAAACCTTTCCATTGGTTCATTATGTAGCTCAGTCCAAAGCGTCGCATTTGCTCAGGTGTAACAGTGGCATTAATTCAGACACAGCCAAGCAGAAAAAATTAACTGGTTCATTCTCAGTATTTTACTCAACAATTTAATGCAAATGTTGCCGGCCTCAGGCCTAGGGGAACCTGAGCCGTGGTATCATAACAGCGAATGGCTGTATGATGGTGGGAGATGGTCGATCTCTCTTTCTCCCCTCTCTCTCTCTAAAATGACAAGGAAAAGTGAGGTTCCCTAATTTACTGAAATCAGTCCTCTACACAAACAGATCAACATCAGTCACAGCATCATTACCATTCTACTTCTCTCGGTAGAGATCCGGCAAGTGTCCACAGTGTAACACTTCATGACGTTTCTGTAGATGTGAAGGTTCTGAGTAAGATTTAAATCATGATGTCTTCTGTTTCCTCGAGTCATTAAAGAGGAAACACTAACACCACTCTAAATCCTCCCGTTTGAGCAACAACAGTAAAATCCCTTAATAATGTAGCTCAGAAGAAGATGCGAAAACCCCCAACATGAAACACAGTGAGGGGGTAACACAAGAGGACACGACCCAAGAGTGAGGTGAACACTTCTCTCCACTGGTTACACTCCAAACTACACACCCCCTAAGATCCTCACTGCAGTGTCGCCCATGGAGAAAACCACAATGTAATAACATCATACAGCAAGACTGGCCTGAGAACAGACAACATTCCTGACCTCACTTCATTTATTTATTCGTTTAGTCATTTATTACTGTGAATATTTCAGTTCAGTCCTTAAGTCAGTATTTAAGTTGATGTAGTAAACGTTCCTCATTCAGAGCTGAAACTCTCTGGAATGCAGTGTTGAAGTTCTGATCTGATGTTTTCTGTGGAAATGCAGGTGTGACCTCCTCAGTTCTGGGTGGGTGAGATGGTGTGGGAACATCCTTCATCCTCCAGGGGATACAGGTCACACATACGTGGGTGAGAGAACATTTCTGGGGAGCGTCTCTGTGGAGAACCAGAAATTCCAGTGAGCCGTTAAAACAGCAGATTATACACACAACGATCATATAACTGTGATTATTAAACTGATTTATGTGAAGCTGAGCTGATTACAGAGAAGAGAAAAGCTTTTATTATGTGGATATTTTGATGTACTTTGACCTGCAAAGTGTTTTTCCACTCTGTCAGTGTCTGTCAGGTCACACTGTGGATTTACATTTTAATAAATCTGACTGGAGTAATAACTGGGTATGAATACAGCACTGAGAATCATAGTTTACTTTAAATTGTTGGTTTTATGTAGAATTCTTGCATTATATATATATATATCATGAGTTCAAAATGACTTCACAAATAAGAATCCATGTATTTTATTAGAAGATGTATCTTGTTTTCTTTTTCTGTTAAAATTAAAAACTCTTTGAAGTGCATTTAATAACAAATCTTCCCATATCAAAGTGAACAACGCGTCCACTGTTTATTTATTTCTGCAGTGTTTTAAAGGTGTTTTATCTGCTTTAGTCCTGCTTTATTACTGCACTGATGAAGGGAATCTGATGAGAACTACTGAACAATGTTC